GAGAGGGAGGGGGTGATGGTGAGAGGGAGGGGCGTGATGGTGAGAGGGAGGGGGTGATGGTGATAGTGGGGAGTGATGGTGAGAGCGTGAAGGGTAATGGTAAGAGGGGGGGTGATGGTGAGTGGGAGGGGAGTGATGGTGAGTCGGTATGATGGTGAGAGGGAGGGGGTGATGATGTGAGGTGGGGGGGGACTAAATACCTTATTTAATTACCTGGTGGTTCAGGGTGGGCTCCCTGGTTGTCCAGTGGCCATTACATCCGGTCTGCAGCTCCACAGAGCTGCAGTCCATGAATCTCGCAAGACCCAGTCAGAGCGCTGCCGTGAGACACATGGTCTGCAGCTCTGTACACTGCGGAGCTGCAGACCGGTGTCAGCGACGGGTGCAGGAGGGGCATCGCATCCGGCGGCATATTGAGCAAGCCGCCGGGCCCCCTCCTAGTGTCAGGTCCTCGGTCAGTGACCCAGGACCTGACACAATCTGCCCCGAGCACCCCCCTAGTGAGTGTCAGCCTGGGCAAACCGCCCCCTCCACCCCCCCTTAGTACGCCACTGTGTGTGTCATATAATTCAGTGAGATGAAAGCTTACAAATTGTATACCTCATTTTAAATGTCTAATATAACATCCATTTCTTTTCTTTTTAGAAAAGGACAGCAGATTATATTTATGGAGATTAAAGGACACTACAGGCACTGTAACTGCTTCATCTCTTTACAGTGGTTATATTGTCTGGGGTATCCTGGCACAATCCTTCCATTCAATGTTAAAACATTTTTACACACTAGTTTATACCACAATATGCAAATACTTTGTATCCATTGAAGTGATTATTTTGCCTAAAGTGTCCCTTTAAGTTAGTGTTGAACCATGCACCAGGCTTTTTTTCAACTGGAAAAACACATAATTATTCTTATTATTTTGCATGCTTATGTAGCCAACATAGTCTGTAGCACTTTACACATTTGGTTATTAATACCCTCTGGGTATTGGGAGCAATGAGAATAATTCCACCAAGATGTTTTGATAATAGAGAAAAGGTTTCAAAGCAAATGAGGTCCTACTAATGCTTGTTGACATCCAGGAGGGTCATTCCACAGGCCGAGTACAAAACGGTGAACAGCAGAAAACATGACTGTCAAGAATTGAATGCATTTCCAATAGATTTGATGAAGAACTATTCTTTAAAAGGAACCCTCCAAGAACCATGAATACTACATTGTGCTGTAGTGGGTAAGATTACACGAGTGTCCATTGTAAGGTGTCAAGCTTTTTTAGAACTGTTTGACTACTTAACTTGGATCCAACGGATGCTACTCCCTGCCTCCTTCCAGTGGCGTAACAAGGTGGGTGCGGGGTGGGTTTGGACCACACCAGGGTGTGCATTACGGGGGGTGACACCAGTGCTGGCCTTTGGGGTGTGGGAGCTGTGCACAGGACACCATGGCAAAAGAAGGCAGGGGACTGGTGAAGGGGATCTAGGGTCTGGTGAAGAGGGCGGGGGACTGGTGAAGGAGGCAGGGAATTGGTAAAGGGGACTGGTGAAGATAGGATGGGGACTGGTGAAGGGACAGGGGACAGGTGAAGAGGGCTGGGGTTAGTGAAGGGGCTGGGAACTAGTGAAGAGTCTGGTGAAGGGGATTGGAAAAGGGAGCAGGGGACTGGTGAAGGGGGCATGGGGACTGGTGAAGGGGAAAGGGGACTGATGAAGGGGGAAGGGGACTGGTGAAGGGGGGTTGGGGAATGGTGAAGGTCATTTTAATTTTCCTAGTTGTTAATGTAACTATTGCCATTACATTTAGTGTTATATGGAGTTATGATTTTACATTAGTAAAAAAAAAAAAGCCAAAAAATACATTATTACGGGGGTTGGGGTGACACCACGAGTTACCGCACCGAGTGACACCAACCCTAGTGACTTCCTTCCAGGAGCTGGAAGCTGTGTACCTGAGCTAACCACAGATGATCAGTTGACACTCTCCCTTTATTACAGGGCTTAGATTAGGATGACAGAAGCTTCTGCTTATGAGCTTCCTGCTTTTCTATGGAGATGGGGGAGCAGTTCTAAAATGGGTTGACTCCTTACAATGGGGAGGAGGGGCACCAGGGCACTCCTAATGCCATAACCACAGCATCGTGCTATAGTGGTTATGGTGCTTTAGAGTCTTCCTTTAAAAATCATGAGTGACAGATAAAAGCTGTTCAGCATAAAACATTTGGTAAGGATTTTTTGTTTTTTTTTAACTAGTGTCACCAATGCATGAACTCACAGCAGAAAAAAGGAGAAATTGTAGAAAGTTATAAACACAGCATACCAATTTAATTGTGAAAAGTATAATAAAAATGATATATATAATCCACATTTATTAAACCCATAAATGAGTGCCTACAAAACAAGTTTTAGAAAAAAAATAATTCAAGGTTAACAATCTGGCTAAAGACTCAGAAAGACTGGAAAAAAAAACGTATAAAGAAAAAAACATTCCTACCACTCAAGGTTTAGTCTATCAGGTCTTCAGTATTAACCTTAACCACATGCGCGTTAATGCGATTATTTTGTTTTGGTTTGATAAAGAACACATTCAATAGCCTAAAACTATACAGACAGTCGTCTAGACAGTCGTCTATAATTCTGACTTTATAGATTAAATGTGTTTCTTTCATCAGGTATTTGTTATGCCTTACTTATTGGTTAAACACAGTAAATTACAAGATATATTACAATTAGATTCTAGTAGGTAAAATGTTTAAAGCTACACAACTACCTGGTGGAATTAAAACTTAATTTACAATGGTATTATTATTATTATTATTATTATTATTATTATTTCGTATTTATATGATAATGCTGTGGAATCTGGAGATGGAGATAAATTAAAAGAATTTAGATTTTTCTGTAGAGAGATATGGATGGAGCATCAGGTAGGAGTGGAGATGGGAATGTATGGAGTTCCATTTTGGCAAACAAATGTTATTTCCCTAAAAATGAATAATGCATACACAAATGTATGAAATAGGTACGAGAAATATACTAATAGTAGCAGGATAATTAGCTTAATTATAATAATGTAGTTATGTAGTTAATGGAATATATTCGAAGCTTGGACTTGTCACCAGTGGGGTACCTCAGGGATCTGTACTTGGACCCATTCTCTTTAATATTTTTATTAGTGATATTGCAGAAGGTCTTGATGGTAAGGTATGTCTTTTTGCTGATGATACAAGATATGTAACAGGGTTGATGTTCCAGGAGGGATAAGCCAAATGACAAATGATTTAGGTAAACTAGAAAAATGGTCAGAATTGTGGCAACTGACATTTAATGTGGATAAGTGCAAGATAATGCATCTTGGTCGTAAAAACCAAAGGGCAGAGTACAGAATATTTGATAGAGTCCTAAGCTCAACATATGAGGAAAGGGATTTAGGGGTGATTATTTCTGATGACTTAAAGGTAGGCAAACAATGTAATAGAGCAGCAGGAAATGCTAGCAGAATGCTTGGTTGTATAGGGAGAGGTATTAGCAGTAGAAAGAGGGAAGTGCTCATGCCATTGTACAGAACACTGGTGAGACCTCACTTGGAGTATTGTACACAGTACTGGAGACCGTATCTTCAGAAGGATATTGATACCTTAGAGAGGGTTCAGAGAAGGGCTACTAAACTGGTTCATGGATTGCGGGATAAAACTTACCAGGAAAGGTTAAAGGATCTTAACATGTATAGTTTGGAGGAAAGACGAGACAGGGGGGATATGATAGAAACATTTAAATATATAAAGGGAATCAACACAGTAAAGGAGGAGACCAAATTTAAAAGAAGAAAAACTACCACAACAAGAGGACGTAGTCTTAAATTAGAGAGACAAAGGTTTAAAAATAATATCAGGAAGTATTACTT